GAGGCAGCATCTTAAGCAGAGAGTGAGAGGGGGCTGCTTTTATCCAGCGTTCTCTCTCTCTCTCTCTCTCTCTCTGAACTGGTCCATGGCTGTGGTCTGCAGCACTAGGCTTTTCTAAATGCTTCTCTAATTGAATTCTCAGGTGAGAATTTTAATTCCTTCAGGTGATTCCACAGGAAAGTCTAAAAGAGAGGACTGTGGCAAGGTGTGGATATCTTGTCTGGTGTCCTGTCCTGCAGGGACATCCTGTTCTGTTTGTTATCCCAATGAGGTAGGTGGAGTCCTGATCCAAAGGGAATCCCGGAGAAGGATATCATTCCCTCCAGTGGCCCCGATTGTGTTGCCTCAGCATTAAAGGAGTGAAATAGCAGACATTCTTCTTGTGCTGGAGAGAATGGACCTGGCAGCTTTTATCCACAGTGCTTGGAATTGGCATAGGCTTTCCAGCTGCTTTCTTGTCCTGTTGTCTGAATGGCCTGGTTCCATCTAGCTGGGCGTGTGACTCCTGTTGAGGTTTTGTGTTTCCTATTCACTGCGGTACCGTGCTGTCTCTGCACTTATGATCAGTTCCTTCTCAAAGCATAGGTGCTCAGGCCAGCATTCCTGTGGAAAGTGGAAGATGTTCTGTGTGTATCTTTGAGCTAAAATCAAGTGCTGTGCCAGTTTAATATCAGATCTATCCTTTGCTGAAGGGCTCACATTCCAGGTGCCCTGTGAAATCCTTCCTGGATATGTGATGTGTATACCAGTGTCTCTGGAAGCCGTGCTGGCGCTTGTGCTGCATCTGCCCTTCGAAGACCTCTTAGTTCCTCTGCAGCTTTCCATTGAGCCCTCATGATATTTTTTTCTTAATGCAATAGCAGAGCTCTCTTATTCTGAAGGTGTTTTCCAAATAATGCTGTTTGATTTCCGTGGCAATCATGCGAGGTTCCTCCATTTGTGGAGATCTCACTGATTCAGTCCATGCTCCACTCCCATCAGAGCAGCTGTTATGTGTGGGTTATACTTGTGAATGGCAGGGTTTAGAAATGCACTCTGCACCCAGAATATTCTGTTTTTCCATGAGCACTTGTTCCCCTTCTGTTGGAGACACTAACTGGGAAAGCAAATGTCAATCAGCATTCATTGTTGGAATACCTATAGCTGGGCCTTTTCCTGCCTAGCCCCAGTTACAGCTTGCAGAACAGATGTTGCCTTTTCTGTTCTACTAGTGTTGCTGTAGGATCTGAGATTGTACATCTCTGAAATAAGAGAGTTGGGTTTTTTAAGGAGCTGGTGTAACCAGAACACGGCATGACTGAGTCACATGTGCGTCATCATAATAGGCACTTTTCTGCATCAGTTGTTTTCTTCCTCTCTCTGTCACTAGTCATTCACACACAGATCCCACTGACTCCTAGGCTTTTGGGAATGGATGCTGGAAATAGAGGGAGAGGTGCAGGGCTGGTTATTCGTTGCTACAAACGAGGAAAGAGCTGATTATTGTGGAGTACCAGGACCATGCTATACCACATCCCAGGGCTGGTAATGGGTCATGCTGAGTGTTGGGTTTGGATCCTAGAAAGGGGAGCGAATACCCAGGCTTGTATGGGTTGTGCTGGGTTTTGGGTCTAAATCCCAGCTACCTGCTGGGGAGCAGGTGGGATGGTGGATTGGGCCAGTGCCAGTTCTGTTCTATGAATGGGAAGGATGGGACTCCTGTGTGTGTGTCTGTGTGGAGAGCAGCGATCTCCCTCCTGGAGGTTTTGTTGGCTGAAGCCTCAGCTTGTTTTGGAATTCAGGCTTCGCAAGGCCTTTCACGCGCTGAAGAGAGACTGCAGTTGCGGACAATAGTATGTTCAGCAGGCAACTTCAGTGGCGCCTTCTCATTGTAGCCTACGGCTGGTTGCTTTCGGCTCAAGGGCAGGGGTGTCACTCTGATCTGATGGATGCTTGGGGGAATTTGCAGGGGTACTTGTTGGAGCATTAAAATTGAGCTTTTCCAGGCCCCCTTGGGAAATGCTGAGCTGACTCCCCACGTTCTCCATTTCCGCATCCAGGAGCACTGACCCTCTGCCCAGTGATTACAGGGCCCTGAACCAGAGGAATCACAGGAACCTGGCTTTGGAGCCAGAATATTCCACCAGCGGAAGGAGAGCTGCAATTAGTGCAGTGAGTGTGCTTAAGCTGAGGGGGTGAGGCAGCTGGCTTGCTCTGGGTGGAGCAAGGCTGTGGGCTGGCTGTCAGGGCAGACAGACCTCCCGATAGAAGGAAGGCTGTGGATTAGCATGCCTTTCCATGCAGTGATTCCCAACTCTAGGTGGGAAGCGTATGGGCAGTACTGTCCTACAGCATCCCTTCAAAGGATAGGCCATGCACACGTATGTCTCTTGATAGGCTCACCTGCTCATATAGAAACACCCTCTTCTGTGCAGTGGGATGTAGACTAAGGCCCTGGGCCAGGCAGGCTTCTCTCTTGACCCCCATGGACCTGCTGTCTGCCCATCAGTGGAAAGTTCTCACAGGCTTCTAGGGAAGTGTGTTCCTAGCACGCGGTCAGCCTGGGTCAGGAAACCACTGCTGCAAAGACTGCTAGCATCTCTTCAACACTCCCAGTCTACATGTCCTGGCTTCCACTTCTTTAAGAGATCAAGGAAATCATCCTCATGCATTCATCTTAAGGCTGGGTTCCAGCTCTGCAGGTGGCTGTGGCATTGCCTCTCAGTCTAATAGTGGCAGGGGGCTGCCTCAGGTTCTGGCCCCATGGAGAAATCACTTTGTACTCCAGATGCTTGTTACCCATCTCCTGCCAGGTCTTGCCTGTGGGAAAGACACCTCTGTGCTGGGGACTGATTTTTCAGGCAGCACCTGGCCTTTCCCTTTGGGGAGAGGCTGTTTTTTCTATGACAGTTCAGATCTCACATAGGCTGTTTGAAATCTCCCAGCCTGAGAGCGAATGGTGGAGCTGGAACCCACATCACATGTGGTTAGTGACCACAGCCCTGTGGGAGGGAGACAGGCAGCCTCCAGCCTGCAAAAGCAACTGTATTACAAACTGAAAAGAGAGGAACCAAGCAATAGCATCTCACTGAATTGCAACCTGCCACTGATGCAGCACAGACTTGCATGCCAGATGCCACAGGGGATTGAACCCCAGACACCATGTGACATTCAGGCCTGGGCAGGGCCTGACTCCCTGGCAGCTGCTGGGTATAACCATAGCTCTGTCAGAAGCTCACAGGTCAGATGTGTCTGTGCCTGGCATGGTGATGGAGCAAGCCGCACTAAGGGTGTGGGATGGAGATGTTGCTGTGGCTCTGTCTAGGAACCTGCTTGTGTGCCTGGTGTGGGTCAAGAAATTGACCGTTAAGTCTCTTTCCCTGACAAGCTGGTGGTTATTAATACCTCTGAAACATGTAACCTCTTTCAAAGTTCCCATGTCCCCAGAACAATGGGTGCAGTTTGCAGCTGCTCGGAGTGGAAAAGGGCCTAATGCTCAGTCTGCACTTTTCCCCCTTCACCCATACTTTCTCTGCACACTGATGGCAACTAGGCTCCGTAAGCTCCTTATTTCTCTTGCACCATGACCCAAATACAGACTGGAAGCCTGCGGTAGGAGTTAGCAGAGGGTTTTGTTGTGAGTGTCATCCTCCTGCTCATAGCTCTGCAGACATAGTGACAGCAAGTCCCTAACCTCTGTCACCCAGGCTGTTTTGGCAGAGCAAGGCCAGGGGGCTCGCTGCTGAGACCTGCAACTCCCCAGCCCTGCTCTTTTCTCGGCATGAAGCTGTAGCCTGGTAACAAGTTTCTCACCTGTTTTCTGAAAATCATTTCTCTCCTGGGCACCAGCCCCAGCTGCACAGTTGTGACTCTGGTCTGTTTGTGTTGCACTACCCAGCCACTGAGGCAAGCAGGGAGTGGGCTGGGGAGCCTCCAGTGCTGCACAGACAGGAGTGGGTTGATATAGCTATTCATCTCTGTAGGAGGGCCCAGGGCAAGTGTCTCTGAGTCATTTCCAGCTGACATTTTCTTTGCTATACTGAGTGGTTTGGTCTCAGTCCACTAGGAGCTGGATGATGTGTCCAGTACACAACCACCACCACAATTCGCAGTTCTTGGCCTCCTCAACAGCCAAGGACTTAATGGGTCACGGAGACTCAACTTGCCTCTGGGGCCATTCTAGTCAAGGCTGAGATGTACTTGTGGGTGTGGAATCTTGCCCTGCTGTGACCTATGTTATACCTGCTCTCTCGCTCTCTGGGGCTGTTCCTTTGGCTCCTTCAGCTGATAGAAATGTACCAAGAGAGAAATCTTGTCAATCCTGTATGAGCATCTTGAGAGTCATTGAAAAGGAGATAAAATGGGTGCACCAGGCCTGTATGCGCCAGGGGCCAATGCCTGCTGCTAAGGCATAAAACCTGATAACGTAAAATACCATACTCTGTAGAAAGGTACCCCTGACCTCCAGCTGGGAGAACACTTGAGGAGTCTCGTCCTAGCTCAACACATTTACAGACTCAGGCTATGTCTACAGTACATCATTTACAGCTGTGTTGCTGTAGAGCTTCCGGTGAAGATGCTCTAAGTCGACGGGAGAGAGCTCCCCTGTTGGCTTAATAATTCCTGCCTCCACGTGAGACAGTAGCTATGTCAGCGGGAGAAGCTCTCCCGTTGACATAGTGCTGTCTACACTGGCACTTAGGTTGGTGTAACTTATGCAACTGCTGTGTGTTCATTTCATGAAAGCCCCTGGTAGGATGGACCATGTGGGACCTTTCACTCTGACTGTCAGCCAGAGGGGCAGTCTGAGGTTTCGTAGGAGATGGGGTAGAACAACTGCCATGTAGGGCAACACTGGTGGGGTGCGCTCCACAGACTGCCTGGATGTTTCCTATCCAAAGGCCCAACCCTGCTTCGCACGAGATGGTCCTCTTGCAGGTGCTCAGGTGCTGTGAGGATGGGAGCAATATAGGAACCCAAATGGATCGAAAAGAGCTGCTCACCATCTCCCCTTTCAGCAGGTTTGGGGGTGGATGCTGTCTCCCCCATCTCAGAAGGAACTGGAGTAGTCTGGAGCCATGCCACCGCCTGCGGACATTGTTAAAGTGGCTGTTGAATGGCCTGGAGCCAATGCCCAGCTGCTTGAAATAGACCAGGTGAGAGTTGGGTGCTGAGTGCAGGAGAGGGACTTGGAGCATGGTGCTAAACGTGGGGAAACGGAATCATAAAGCTTCCCCTTGTGGCTGGGAGAAAGGGTCACTGCTGAGCACTCTCTCTTTCTGTTCTAGAAAAGGCCCCTGGCGTCTGTTATCAAGGAGGTCTGTGATGGGTGAGTCTGGCTTTCTGGAGGCCCTGCTGCAGCAGACCAGTCACCCTAGTGGGCCTGGCCTTTCGCATACCCTACCAGATGTGCTGTTGGCAGTGTGGACTGCCTCCCTCCAGGCTTCCCACCTGGACATGGGGCAGGCCAAGGCTCTAGCTGGGAGCGTGAACTCCTGGGTGACGGGATCCCCTGCTGTATATGTTTGTGCCCTGGTACTCAGGGCTCCTGAGGCTTGGCTTGGCCTGGCCTCCTCTAAGGTTTCTGCAGTCCAGGCCTTCACAGAGTTTCCCTCAGCTCCTGGTCTTATTCAGGCTGAGATCCCACCTTCTCCCTCCTCTTCAGGAACCACAATCTTCTCATTGGGGCTTCTCTCCAAATCTCCATTTCTTTCCACTTGGAACAAGCCACCCCTAGTCTGAATCCTAGCCCTGGACATAGGTGATGGCCTGGTAGAAGGAAGAGACAGGGCCTTACGTGTCATCCTCCCCCCTGCCAGGTGGTCGCTGCCAAACCCTGAATACTATACCCTGCGATATGCAGATGGGCCCCAGCTGTACATCACAGAACAGGTCAGTACAGGGGGATGGTGTGATGGTCCCCAGGGAAGGGGTTTGAAGGAGTCTCTACATTGGCCAGCATTGAGCTGAAGCTGTCCCCATTACTGGGTGGGGTTTTGCCCCACCATTCTCCTCTATGGCCACTAAACATGGAAACTTATATTAACCAGTGCAGTCCCAACCCTTCTTCCCCTTTCCCCTACACCTGATTGAGTACAGTTGTCCCATGGCCCAACTTCCCCTTCCTCCCCACAACTTGCTTTTGGACACAGGGACCATATGGTCCAACATAACTCCTTTCCCTCTGTGTGTGTGTGTGTGTGTTCGTGTGTATGTGTATGCGCACACATAGATGCACAGGGCCATGGCCAACTGCATTTCCCCATCACCACCTCATGCCGCTCAGATATTTCTCTTTTCTCTTTGCAGACTCGTTGTGACATTAAAAATGGGACCATCCTGCAGCTGGCTGTCTCCCCGGTATATGCCTTCCTTCAGCTGTCTCCCTGCCATAGGCTCGTTCCAGCCACTCAGCGCCCTGCTCCTCCTCCCAGTGCTGGGCCTACTCCTGCTGCTTGGTGGACTAAACTGAAAGATGATGCTCGCTATGAGCAGCAGTTTAGCGCCAAGCAGGAAGAGCCAGCTTTACTGATTTACTTACAAGAGAAAAATAAATAGTTTGAGTGACTTGACCCATTGGGTTGCATCTCTGGTGAGGTGATGTAACCTTACAATTTCACCCCATTAGCTCCTCCTGCATCCCCACTTCTCTTGTTGCATCTTGTTTTAAATTAGAATTTAAGTTCCTTGGAGCAAGGCCTGTAACTTCCTGAGTGCACAGCGCCCAGCACAATAGGGCCCAATCCTGAATGGATGCTGGAGACTACCACTGTCACATAACAGTAACAATAAATACATTTTAAAAAGCAGCTTACACAGGGATCGCTTGTCCTCCTTTGAAATACAGCCACCTGTGGGATGGGAGATGGCAGTTGTTTTTTAACCACACAGCAAAGTAGCTTACCAGTTTTGTGTGAGAAGTGGAGAAGAGTTCTATCTCCTTTCAGTGTGAGGACAGATGGAAAAAGGAAAAAGTGGTGGATGCATTAAAAAGCTTTAGAGATATTTTTCTTTGGAACTAAAAGGTCTTTTGGGGCCTCATATTTCTTATGGTTCCCACTTTCAATGCCTGTACCTGCTGGAGTGGGATGGGGTGATTTATCCAGCATTAGAAACGAACACTTGACCCACCTGCCAGTTGGCTGTAGTTACAGCTGAGAGCAGCATTCCTGATCCCAACTCAATCTGCCTAGACAACTGGTTTCTGTTCTGCCAGTTCCAGTAACCCTTTGGCCTTGCTGTGTTCCTTCTGCCCATTGCTGCATCCCTGGCAGAGGCTCAGAAAGTGTCAGCAGACCCATGAGTAACTGGCAAGATCTCGCCTGTCTCCCAGTCCAGGGCAGCACGACAGCTGATGGAGAGGACCCAGTCACACAGTATGGAGGCCCGACTGGATGCCATGAAGGAACTGGCTAAACTGTCTGCAGATGTGACCTTTGCCACAGAGTTCATCAACATGGAGGGCATCACGGTGCTGACGCGGCTGGTGGAAAGTGGCACCAAGCTTCTGTCCCAGTAAGTATTCCTGTACTCAGGACTCTTGGAGCAGGGACTGGTGGGGGTGAGGAGGCTGGGGGTGCAGCAACAACTGTCTTGGTTCCAGCAGGGATTAGAATTTTCTAAAACATTTGTTGACTGTTACAATGTTAAACTCAGGGTTTTATGACAGGTTATCTCTGGCAACTGCCAATATAACAATCACCATAAAAAACATGTATTAAACACACAGAAAAGAGGAGAAATCGTTACAACTGTTGAAACTTAAAATTTCAGGGGAAAACTTAATTTTAACAGTCACCCTCATCCCTTCCACTTTAGTTATCGAGTCTTTTAGAAGTCTTGCTCATGCGTCTTTAGATGGTTTTAAAAGATAGTGTTAAATGTTCTTGCTGGGGAAAAGTCAGCAGTATATGGTCTTGAGTTGTTGAAATTGGATCCCATTCCTTTTAAGACCAAATGAGACAATCTGGCGCAAAATGGAAAAGACAGGAATAGCAAAAAATAAGACAGAGTTTTCTGTCTTGAAGTTTGTGTGTTTTTCTTGCAGTCTGGCTGCTCAGAAATTACAGGTACAGCGGGCACATGGCCCCCATTAGCCACTCAAAAACCTGGCAGACTTTTTCCAGAGTGTATTCGCATAGTTTATAGCTGCTTCTCAGGGTACAACCGAATTGCAAAAGGTGGAATTGTTGTGGCTGACTATGCCAGACTCTTGCTAGGCAAAAGGCAGGAAGAGATATATGGGAAAGAGGGGAAATATGGTGGGAGAGGTAAAATGACACACTAGGAGGAGGTGATAGCAGGAACCTTGGGTCCAAGTCTAGCTGTTGATCAGGATTCATCTCAACCCAATAGAGAGGGTGATGTGTTTTGGTTCCCATTCCCAAACCCTGGCTCTGATCTGGTCAGGACATCTTTCACCATCAGGACAATGAAAGCCCAGGGGTGTGATGGTTGATTTCTGGGCCTCAACAGGTGGAGCAGAGGGGTGTGTGGCCGCAGCAGCATTCATAATGGTGCCGCTCACTCCCTTTCTGCCAGCTGTCCAGGTCACAAGTGTAGCTAGTTGCCAAGTAACCCCCAGCAAAGCAGTGCACACAGGGGGGTAGCAACCCCGTCCCATCCACAGTTATCAAAATACACATCCAGTGATTCCACATATGACCATTTCCAGAATCCCATAGCTCGTTGTCAGCCTGTGGCCTCCCCAGGAGTCTTGGAGACCCTGAATCCCAGCTCTTTGTGTTAAACTGATACAAACTGAATGTGTTTGATCTCCAACTTCTGCTTTTTTATATACAGTTTTTATAACAGATCGTGCTAAACTTTTGTTGCCTTCCACCTGCTTTAAATGACTTAGGATACAGGCCTCTGCGCAGCTGATCTTGGGGTCTAGGGATCCTGTTCAAGGTAGAACAGCTTGTCAGGTTGTATTGGAGAGCTGGGAAGCCTTACACGGGTATTTGTCCTGTTGGGTCTTGCTGGAGCAGCTTTGCCAGGGTGCCTCTTTAAGTAGAAATGTGGGACCCAGTCAATGCAGAGGGTTATTTACAGGGACATGGATGGTGTATGTCACTTAATACTAATAATGCTTAGCATGCATAGCACTTCACATGAGAGACCCGATCACTTGAGCCAGGTCTGGGAGCACTGCAGAAGCCAGTCCAATGTCCTAGGGATAACTCTGAACCTTGACATACAGGAGACCTAGCTGTGAGAGCTGGGGCTTGGAGCATTGCAGAGGCAGGGCAGTGGAATATCTTGCCTCTTAGTAATGAACCCTCTGGCCAGTTGAGGGGCTGTGTTGAGCAGATGCTTTGGCTGGAAGACTGGGGGCAGGGTGAATCTTGTGAAGCCACAGTGTTTGCTGAGTGGCTTGTGTCTTCTGCCCAGGCTGGTTTCCGTGTCACCTGTAATCACACTCCCCTTCGTCCTCTCAGTTACAGCGAGATGCTGGCGTTCACCCTGACTGCCTTCCTGGAGCTCATGGACCATGGCATCGTCTCCTGGGACATGGTCTCAATAACCTTCATCAAACAGGTGTGGCTCGAGGAGAAGGGGGAGGGGGTGCTGTGTGAAGCAGTAGAGGTGTGGCATCAGGGGGAGGAGAGTTGCATATGGTAGTGGGAGGAGTGAAAAAGGGAACGTGGTGTGGCACACACATGACCTAGAAGGAGGGGGAGAATGGGGCAGGTGTGCCATGAGCAGGGCGGAGATATGGCGTGGCCTGTGGGGAGAACAGAACATGATACTGTGGGGGAATTGGGTGTAGTGTGGCATGGGGCAGGGAAGGAGACATGATGTGGAGGAAGGCCTGACATAGAGTGGTGAAGTAGGGCACGTGATGCACACACATGGTGCAGGTATGGCGTGGAACGATTGGGAAAGGAACAGCTTAACTCCAACATTTCCCCAGTGGGTTTTCTGCTGGAGGCTTGTCTCTGTGGCAGTTTGTGTCTGGAGTTAGCAGAGGAGGTGAAAAGCTTTCCTGCTGACTATTCAGACCCCACCTGCAGCTCTAATACAGCCCACCCCCCGCAGTGTCATTGTTGCTAGCAGGGAGTGTTACAAACACCCTGCTGACCTGAATTCTGGTTGGATTCTACTCCGTTCCGGAAATGGGTCTCTGTTCATGGTGGTTCCTGTAGATTCATGTTTGGTGATTGCAGCTCCTGGCTCCTGCTCACCTGGGCAGACAGGACACAGCAGCAACCACCAGTGTTATAGATGCTTGGATTCTGCTTCTGTCTGAGCTCTAAGCCCTGCTACACTAGATCACTTTTGGAGGCAGGGCTGGGATCAGAGTGGTGGGCAGGCACAGGAGCCAGGGATCAGATTATAGCCTGTGTTTTCTGTGGTAATGGAATCATCCACAGAATTGTGCTCCAGAATCTCAGCTTTCAGTTAAAAATAAAACTGAGTTTCTAGCCCTTGTTATTGCAGAGAAAACATGACTCTAGTGTAGGTACTGCAGTGCTGTCTTTCTGAGTCTGGGGACAGTTTGAAACAATAACTCCATAAGACACAAGAACAGAAGAACGGCTATACTGGGTCAGACCAATGGTCTATCTAGCCCAGTATCCTGTCTTCAAACAGTGGCCAATGGCAGATGCTTTAACAGGAATGAACAGAACAGGGCAATTTATCGAGTGATCCATCCCCTGTGTCCAGTACCAGCGTCTGGCAGTCCAAGGCTTAGGGACATCCAGAGCATGGGGTTGCATCCCTGAAAATCTTGGCTAATAGCCATTAGTGGACCTATCCTCTTTGAATGTATCTAATTTCTTTTTGAATCGAGTTATATTTTGGTCTTCACAACTTCCCCTGACAACGAGTTCCACAGATTGACTGTCCATTGTGTGAAGAGGTACCCCTTTTGTTGGTTTTAAACCTGCTATCTATTAATTTCTTTGACCCCTGGTTTTTGTGCTATGTGAAGGAGTAAATAACACTTCCCTAATTACTTTCTCCACACCATTCATGATTTTATAGACCTCTATCATATACCCCCTTAGTCATCTCTTTTCCAAGCTGAACAGTTGCAGTCTTTTTAATCTCTGCTCATATTGAAGCTGTTCCATACCCCTAATCATTTTTATTGCCCTTTTCTGTACCTTTTCCAATTCTAATATATCTTTTTTGAGATGGGGCAACCAGAACGGCACTCAGTATTCAAGGTGTGGGCCTACCGTGGATTTATATAGTGGCATTATTATATTTTCTGTCTTCTTATCTATCCTCCATCCTGTTAGCTTTTTTGACTGCCTCTGCACATTGAGCAGATATTTTCAGAGAACTATCCACAATGCCGTGAAGATCTCATTCTTGAGTGGTAACAGCTAATTTGACCCCATTGTTTTGTATGTATAGTTGGGATTTCCAATGTACATTACTTTGCATTTATAAACATTTAATTTCATCTTCCATTTTGTTGCCTGGTCACCCAGTTTTGTGAGATCCCTTTGTAACTCTTCACAGTCTACTTTAGACTTACCTGTATTGAGTAATTTTGTCATCTGCAAAGTTTGCCACTTCACTTTTTACCCCATTTTTCCAGCTCATTTAGGAACATGTTGAACAGCACAGGTCCCAGTACAGATTTGTCGAGGACCCTGCTATGTAGCTCTGTCCATTCTGAAAACTGACAATTTATTCCTACCCTTTGCGTCCTGTCTTTTAACCAGTTACTGATCTATGAGAGGACCTTCCCTCTTATCCCATGACTGCTTACTTTGCTTAAGAGCCTTTGGTGAGGGACCTTGTCAAAGGCTTCTGAAAGTCTAACTACACTATATCTACTGGATCATCCTTGTCAACATTTGTTTGACTCCCTCAAAGAATTCTAATAGATTGGTGAGGCATGATTTCCCCTTACAAAAGCCATATTGACTTCTCCCCAACAAATCATGTTCATCTGTATGTCTGATAATTCTTGTTCTTTACTATAGTTTCAACCAGTTTGCCTAGTACTGAAGTTAGGTTTACTGGCCTCTAATTGCCAGGATTGAATATGGAGCTTTTAAAAAAAATTGAGATCACATTAGCTATCCTCCAATCATCTAGTACAAAAGCTGATTTAAAGGAAAGATTACATACCACAGTTAGTAGTTCTGCAATTTCTACTCCTGGGAAAATACTGCTCCAAAAAAATTAAAAATTCTGTGTCAAAAAAATAAAAATTCTGCAAACAATATTTTAAAATTCTGCAAATTTTATTTGGCAAAATAACACTAGATAATCATGCCAGTTTCAATTATTTTTGGTAATTTATTTCAAAATACCTGTCAGCAAGTATGTCTGTAACAATACAGAGACACAAAAATTCCCACAGGAGTAGAGAGTTAAAGAAACCTAGTTCCTATTTCTCTGCCTTCTTCCCCTCCTGCCCCCCGAAGCCAGCTGGGGTGGCCAGACACCCACAACTCATCCCCCTGAGTCCAGCCATGCCCCCCCCAGCCAATAAACCCAAACCCCTCCCCGCCAGAACCCAGCCCAGACCCTACTTCTGCCCCTCCCCCCGAGCCCAGCCATGGGCCCCCCAAACACAGCCCCCCTACCAGCCGGGGATCCAGAGAGAGAAACAGCCTGCTGCTGGGTTCCAGGCTTGTGTGGAGTTTCCTGCTGTCTCCTTCCCTCATGTGAAGAACTGCAGCTGCCAGGCAGGAACCCTCTAGCTATCTCTCTTCTCCCCCATGTGAGCTGGGCTTTGCCGGCTCCAGCAGCCCCTAGTGGTGGCCAGCAGCACTGCAGCCCATTTCTGTGGGAGAAAGGAAATTATGCACAAAAAAACAATTTCTGTTAAATTCTGCATTGCGCAGTGGTGCAGAATTCCCCCAGGAGTAAATAATTCCATATTTAAGTTCCATCGGTGCTCTTGGTGAATACCATCTTATCCTGGTGATTTATTATTGTTTAATTTATCAATTTGTTCCAAAATCTCCTGTATTGACACCTCAATCTGGGACAGTTCCTCAGATTTGTCACCTAAAAAGCATGTCTCAGGTGTGGGAATCTCCCTCAAATTCTCTGCAGTGAAGATCAATTCAAAGAATTCATTTAGCTTCTCCACAATGGCCTTGTCTTTCTTGAGTGCTCCTTTAGCACCTGGATCATCCAGTGGCCCCACTGATTTTTTGGCAGGCTTCCTGCTTCTGAGGTACTTAAAAAAAATTTGTAGTTAGTTTTTGGGGCATTTGGTAGTTGGGCCAAAATAGAATCTGAAGGCTGCCTAATTATACTTTTCCACTTGCCTTACCAGAATGTGAACCATAGGTGTAGTCCAGCCCATTTTAAAAGTCAATGTTAATTGTGTCACTGTTCCCTATCCTAGCAGAAACAACCAGCTTCCCAAACTGCTCCTGTGCGTCTCTAGGTGCCTAGATCTCCAGCTTCTCCAATGTAGTTATTGGGTCTTGATACAAAATCCTGCAGCATGCTGCAAATAAGGATTGTAGGGATGTCAGAATCTCTTCTCTGTGTGGCAGGTGCAACGTGAGGCATGAGTGAGACAGTCTTATACTAAGGAAGGTTATAGACCATCTTACTCCATAAAAGCAGGAGATGCCCAGGCCACAGCCTCTTAGAGTTGAGGTAGTGTCCTTCTCACAGTTGCAGCAGCTGGACCTTCTGGGATTGTGGTGCACGTCACATGCTCCACACTGAGTGGGTTTCTCCTGCTCTGATGCAGCTTCCAGGAACAGTGTGACTCTTGCAGGCAGCTGGATGCAAGGTGAGGTGGTGCTGATTTTAACAGTATGATGCAGTTGCTACACTTTCTTCTGGTGTTCTGAGGCTGCCTCCTCTGCCGGCCTGCGTCAAAGCACTTTGGTATCTGGTTTGTCACGTAGCCTCTGTGGTGGGCATCTGCTGAGGTGCTGGTTTCTCTGGATTTAGATTGCAGGATACGTGAGTCAGCCCATGGTGGACGTCTCTATTCTTCAGCGATCCCTAGCCATCCTAGAGAGCATGGTGCTGAACAGCCAGACTCTGTACCAGAAGATAGCGGAGGAGATAACTGTGGGGCAGCTCATCTCTCACCTCCAGGTGTGAGTATCCAACAACCCAGAGTGGAGAGATCTAAAGCTAAACTGAGATTTGTAAAACGTTTTTAGATTATCATTTTATATTAAAATTCATAACAGTGCTGTTTTAAATGGCATGACTGGTAGGATGTCTTATCTGAACTTTACAAATCTGCTAAAGGCAAAGAACGAGAAATTGGAAAATTATGGCACTAATCCTGGAAATACTTGAGGACATGAGTAATTTCCCTCATGTGAATAGTCTCACTGATTTCAGTGGGATTAATCATGTTATTAATATGCATGTACAGAGAAGTTGGCAGGATTGGGGCCTAAAATTGTATTGTTAGTCAAAACTTTTTTTTATAAATCCAAATGGCACAAAATCTTTTGCACTGTAAAGCAAAATTACTTCAGTGTTACCAATGTAAAGTTGTTTAGTATTTCAGTACATTAACAAAGTTAAAATTTGTGAACGTTGTGTATACAAACTCACAAACATTGATATTAACATGAATATTTCATAATGCAACACATTCAACTTTAATTACAATCCATGATCAAAAATCACAGGCCAGTTACCAAGGAGTCCTAATACACCTCTTCCTCGATATAACGCTGTCCTCACTCACTCACTCACTCATGCCCGTCACCCCAATCGGGGTATGGGCCGCCAACCACAGATCTTCAGAGTCCTCTATCCTGGGCCATTTGCTCTAGCTGGTTCCAGGTATAGCCCATTTTTATGCTATCAGCCTGAAGGTCGCGTCGCCAGGTGTTTCTTGGACGGCCTCTTTTCCGCTTGCCTTGGGGGTTCCACCGCAATGCCTGTCTAGTGATGTTGGTTGGCTGCTTGCGTAGTGTGTGTCCTATCCAGCCCCACCTTCTCCTTCTAATTTCTTCCTCTGCTGGAAGTTGATGGGTCCTGTCCAAGAGGTAGATGTTGCTGATGGTGTCTGGCCAGCAGAACTGGAGAATCCTTCTAAGGCAACTATTTATGAAGGTCTGGATCTTCCTGGTGGTTGTTTTAGTTGTCCTCCAGGTTTCAGCTCCATACAATAAAACTGATTTCACGTTGGAATTGAACAGTCTAATCTTTGTCATCAAAGACAGCTCTCTGGAGCTCCAGATGTTCTTGAGCTGTAAGAAAGCTGCTCTTGCCTTACCGATCCTTGCTTTGATGTCTGCGTCTGTGCCACCCCGTTGGTTGATGATGCTGCCTAGGTAGGTGAAGGACTGCACTTCTTCCAGAGGGCTTCCATTCACTGTGACTGGGTCATTACTGATGGAGTTAATCTTGAGGATCTTGGTCTTGTCCTTGTGGATGTTGAGGCCAACCTGTGATGACGTGGCTGCCACTACGTTAGTCTTCTCTTGCATCTGCTGTTTGCTATGCGAAAGGAGTGCAAGGTTGTCGGCAAAGTCCAGGTCATCAAGCTGGGTCCACAACGTCCACTGGATTCCGTTCCTGCGCTCATAATCCAATCAATGACAAGGAGAAAGAGAAATGGTGACGACAAACATCCTTGTCTGACTCCGGTTCGCACCTGGAAACTGTTTGTAAGCTGCCCTCCATGGATCACTCTACAGTGTATAGTATCAGAGGGGTAGCCGTGTTAGTCTGAATCTGTAAAAAGCAACAGAGGGTCCTGTGGCACCTTTGAGACTAACAGAAGTACTGGGAGCATAAGCTTTCGTGGGTAAGAACCTCACTTCTTCAGATGCAAGACCCTCTGTTGCTTTCTACAGTGTATGCCGTCATATAAGTTCTTAATCAAGTTAACCACCTTTGCTGGGATGCCATAGTGCCGAAGGAGCTTCCAGAGAGTCTCTCGATCCACGCTATCGAATGCTTTCTCGTAGTGTACAATGAGGAGTTCCATTCCATAGACTGCTCGACTATGATGCGGAGCATTGTTATCTGGTCCATGCATGATCTATTTTGCCGGAAACCTGCCTGCTCATCTCGTAGCTGTGGATCGATGGCATCCTTCATTCTCTCTAAGAGAACTCGGTTGAAGACCTTCCCTGGCACCGACAGAAGTGTGATTCCTTTCTTGGGGATTTTAATAAGGTATCCCTCTTTCCAGTCTGCCGGAATCACTTCTTCTTCCACATATCTTCTCAAAAAGGGGGAACAGCATTTCCACTGAAGCATCCAGATCTACTTTCAGGGCCTCTGCTGGAATATCGTCAGGTCCAGCCGCCTTCCTGTTCTTCATCATAGTGATGGCTTTTCTGATCTCATCTCTGGTAGGTCTATCACAATTGATTGGAAGGTCTTCGTTGGCTGGGTCAATGTCTGGTGGATTTAGTGGTGCTGGTCTATTTAGGAGTTCCTCAAAGTGCTCTGCCCATCTATTCATCTGTTGTTCTATTTCTGTTATAGACTTTCCCTGCTTCTCTTTGACGGGACGTTCTGGCTTGCTGAACTTTCCAGACAGTCGCTTGGTGATGTCATACAGCTGTTTCATATTACCATTGTATGCTGCCTGTTCTGCTTCTGCTGCCAGTCCATCCACATAATCTCTCTTATCCTTCCTAATATTCCTCTTCACTACTTTATAGGCTTCAGCATACTCTTCTTGCGCTTTAGCCTTTGCTGCTCTAGTCCTGCTATTATTAACTACTGCCTTCTTCTTCTTTCTATCTTCTATCTTAGTCAAAGTCTCTGCTGTGATCCACTCTTTCTGCTGGTATTTCTTGATTCCAAGCACTTCCTGGCATGCTGACCTAAGTGTCTCTCTCACTTTCTGCCATCTGTTGGATACACTGTCTTCCTCTTCCTCAGACCGATCCTGTAGTACTGAAAACTTATTCTTCAGCGTCAGTCCAAAATCTTCCTTGATCTTATGATCCTTCAAAAGGCTGACGTTGTACTTCGCTCTTCTATCTGACGTGTCTATCCAGTTCTTCTTCAGCTTCAGCTTCAATCTGGCCACCACTAAGTGATGGTCGGACGCTACGTCTGTTCCTCTTCTAACTCTAACGTCCTGCAAAGATCTTCTGAACTTCTTACTAATACAGACATGATCGATCTGGTTTTCTGTCGTGCCTGCTGGCGATACCCAGGTACTCTTGTGGATCTGCTTGTGAGGAAAGATGCTACCTCCTATGACCAGGTTGTTAAGTGCACACAAATCCACAAAGCTCTCTCCATTCTCACTCATCTCTCCCAGAGCGTGGGTCCCCATGACTTGTTCATATCCTGTGTTGTCAGGTCCAATTTTGGCATTAAAGTCTCCCATAAGGATGGTAATGTCTTTGTCTGGGAGTCTCTAATATTTTCTGAAGTCTGTTGTAAAAATAGTCTTTGTCCCCCTCTTCACTGTCATTGGTTGGAGCATAGCACTGTACAACATTCATCTTAAGCCTCTTCATTTTAGTTCTGAAGGAATGCTGTGATGATCCTGGAACCATGTGCCTCCCAACCAATCAGTGTTCTCTGTGCCTGCTTGGACAACATGAAGCCTACTCCCTGTGTGTGGGGTGCGTCGCTCTCTTCATGTCCGGAATACAGCAACAGCTCTCCTGTCAACAATCGTCTCTGTCCAGCTTGCGTCCATCTTGTCTCGCTAATGCCTAGTAGGGTCAGGTTGTTGCTCCTCATCTCTGCTGCGACCTGCACAGTCTTTCTTGACTCGTACATGGTCCTCACGTTCCATGTACCGATGGTAATCCTCCTGGTTGCAAGAAGGGTAATCGGCTTAGTGGCTTCCTCAGGACTTTCACTACCCAGCGTCATGTGTCTTCGAGTTGAAGGCCCTTCTTTTTCCAGGCTAAAAGTCTCTGTTATCTCTATTGTTGGCGTTTCTGTAGCAAATTAATTTTTTTACGGGGTGGAATTGCTAGCCCCACGCCCAACCCTCCTCCTTTATCCTGACTTGGGACAGGCAGATGGCCCCAAAGGACCTCTCTGGTGGAGTTAACGCTGTCCTCGGGAGCCAAAAAATTTTACCGCGTTATAGGTGAAACCGCGTTATATCGAACTTGCTTTGATCCACTGGAGTGCACAGACACCCCCCCAGCCCCCAAGCACTGCTTTACCACGTTATATCTGAATTCGTGTTATATCGGGTCGCGTTATATCGAGGTAGCGATGTATTTGCATTCCCTGAGGATGCCCTCTGTGCTTTCAGAATTGCTTGAGGGCAATCAACTTAAGGTCTGACAAATGCACGGCTACCTTCCTTGTTTGTGATTGGCAGCTGCAAGGTGGTTGTTGCAAAATTGTTTAATCCCATCAAGCCCACTCCTGCAGTTGGATCCACGTGAGCTGAGCACCATGGGAGTCAGTGAGGGTCCATGCATGTGCTGGGGTCTTCCCATGTGCATTGCGTGCAATATTGGGACCACAGCTGCTAATATGTTTTGGCATCTTTCTTTCCAAAACTTTTGAGAATAATTCTAGAATGCGTGTTACTGTGATTTTTCTTGCAAAGCTCTGCTTAACTTAACCATACTGACTACATTCATTGTCACAAAGCTAATCACATGGCATCATATTTTCTTTCACCTCTGACTGGATTATTAGTGATCAGTCAAATATTCAGATACGTGTGGATGACTGGAGCTATTGTGCTTGTCACACAAGTAAGCAGCGTCTCCCTCAGTAATGACAATTGCATACACAATAGATGCATTGTGCACATTACATCTAGAGACATTTCATCTCTTCTTGAATCACCTCATCCAGAAGATGTCCAGCCACTGCAAACCCTGAGGGAGAAGCATTGCCTAGTCGAAGAACTTGAGCTTTGATTTGTGGATATTTGACAAATTGGAAGGTGGTGCCAGTTGCCAATATAGCTGGATGAATAACTTATTTTGCAGTTCTGAAAAATGTAAAAATACTAATTTTGGGTCTAGTCAAATCTAAAAATTGTGAAAAAAAATTTGGCAAATTGAAAAATCAATTTCAGGTTGAACTAAAAAGGTCTTTTGACCAAAAACATTTTTTGGAGGGCATTTTTAAGGGGATGTGGAGGTGATGGTGCATTCCTTTCTAACTCTTGACTCAGTGGTTGGGGCACGTAGCTTGGATGTGGGAGTCCCAGGTTCAGTTCCCTCCTCTACTTGAGATTTGAACATTGCAGGAGAGCACCCTAGCCACTGGGTTCTGGGATATTCTAGTCTGGGTCTCTCTCAGCCTTTCCCGTTGAAGCTATTCCATTGTGTAGCAATAACAAAATAGTTTTTGGAGCAGGGAATGAATTTTATAGTCTTACATTATTAATGATGAAGTTTTTTACTTGTTTGTATAATTAGTTTCCTAACAGTTTGTGGCATTTCAGGTTTATCGAGAGTTTTTTTCTCTTAAGGAAGCTTCAGCTCTGAAATGAAGCATCTCTGATCTTTGTTGGTATATTTTGTTGTGAGAACATCACAAACTTAAATATGCCCTGACCATGAGTGCCCTGGCCATCGGGAAACTGCAGATGACTGCATAACCGGGTGGTCAGGGCATTAATCTAGGATGCAGGAGACCAAGTTCAAGTCCATACTCCAATAACTATTTATACACAGTAGAATAGCTTCAATAGGAGAGAGGGAGACCCTCCCACACACCTCAGACTATCCCCCAGTCCAGTGGCTAGTGTATTCTCCTGTCATGTGGGAGATCCAAGTTCAAATCTCTTCTCTACATCACGCACAATGGGGAATTGAACCTCGGTCACTGACATGCCTGGGTATAAGTCAGACCAGTGAGGGGCTATGTGACTCTCTTCCCTGTAACCTGGGATGCCTTACAATGTCTTGCTGTTATAGTCTCCAACCTAGACTACTCACAACCAGCCACCAGCATGCAGGCCATTCCCAGATGTCTCTGTAACTGCAGCATGCCCATCACAACCTGGCTTTCACCAGCCTTGGTTATACTGTAGGGTGACTCTGACATACTCCCGGTCCAGTACTTTGCCCCAGAAATCATGGAATCATAGAATATCAGGGTTGGAAGGGACCTCAGGAGGTCATCTAGTCCAACCTCCTGCTCAAAGCAGGACCAATCCCCAACTAAATCATCCCAGCCAGGGCTTTGTCAAGCCTGTCCTTAAAAACCTCTAAGGAAGGAGATTCCACCACCTCCCTAGGTAACCCATTCCAGTGCTTCACCACCCTCCTAGTGAGAGAGTTTTTCCCAATATCCAACCTAAACCTCCCCCACTGCAACTTGAAACCACTACTTGTTCTGTCATCTGCTCCCACTGAGAACAGTCTAGATCCATCCTCTTTGGAACACCCTTTCAGGTAGTTGAAAGCAGCTATCAAATCCCCCCTCATTCTTCTTTTCTACGGACTAAATAATCCCAGTTCCCCTCAGCCTCTCCTCATAAGTCATGTGCTCCCGCCCCCTAATCATTTTTGTTGCTCTCTGCCAGACTCTTTCCAATTTTTCCACATCCTTCTTGTAGAGTGGGGCCCAAAACTGGACACAGTACTCCAGATGAGGTCTCACCAGTGCCGAATAGAGGGGAATGATCATGTCCCTCGATCTGCTGGCAATGTTCTGTATGTTGTGCACTGTCCAGCGCCCTCGCAGACAGTCCAGAAATATTAAATTTGTTAATCCTTTAAGACAAATTTATTAACTACAAAGAGAGAGATTTTAAGTGAGTACAAGTAATGAGGCATAAAAGCGAGAAACGGTTACAAGAAAAATAAGGATAAAACACTTACTGGTACTTAAGACTATGTCTACACTACAGACCTTATGGCACAGCTGTACCGCTGCTGCTGTAAGGTCTTCCATGTAGCCTCTCTATGTGGCAGGGAGAGAGCTCTCCTGTCGGTGCAATTAAACCACCTTCAACAAGTGCTATAGTGGTGGGAGACGCTCTCCTGCCGATATAGCGCTGTGCACACCAGCACTTCTGTTGTAACTTATGTCGGTCAGAGTGTGGGTTTTTTGTTTTTTTTCACATCCTGACCGACAAAAGTGCTATGAAGCCATATCCTAACTTAACAAACAATGTTCAATTTAAAGCCAAGTTTTCTCACCACATGCTCTCAGCAGTTTTTCTGACCAAACTTTTTAGGTCAAGACCCCTCCCACAATCTAATGGCTGCTTCCTTTGTCCCATCATAGACAGTGAATTGATGGGCATGGGTGTGGGGGATATCTTGGGGTGTCTTCCCCTTCTTTTATAGTTCTGCCCCCCTTTGAGAAGCATTTCCAGCTGGGAGCAAGGCAACAGGCAGTCTGTGTGGAAGGAAACTCATGCTGTTTCTTTGCTAAGATGTAGTATTTTTTTTTTTGCCCTGCCTCCTTTCCTGTCAAAGCATGGCCACTTAGCAGGTAATGGTCCATCAGTCTTGTATACACCTGGCTGAGGCATCAGTTTTCCCTTTGTCTCTGAGGAACTGGTTGGCTATTTCCCAGACTTCTATGGGAAACATACTTTTAGTCAAGATCTCAGCTTTTGTTTATAATTTCACATATTGCACTACTACGTGCATTTTTGCCATGATATTGATAAGCAAATTGTGAGTTTTTAAATACCTCAAAAAGCATACCATGTACAAACATTATTACAATAGTGTGTAGGGTGTGAACACAGGGGTGTATTCTATCACAGTTGCCTACATCCCAGGTAAGTGCCCAATCACTGGCTGTTAAAAGTTTTATAAGAAGGGCATCATCACTGCATTTTTCAGGAAATAAACTGTTTGCTCGAAATATTTTGCTGAGCTCTAGTTGCAGATATAACACTGACTATTTGCTTATTGAGTTCATGTTTGAGCTTTGATGTTCTCTCAAAAAATCAGAGATGCTTCATTTCAGGGCTGAATCTTATTAAGAGAAAAAACCTCTAAGTAAACCTGAAATGCCACAAACTGTTAAGATACTAATTATATAAACAAGTACAAAACCTCATTATTAATAATGTAAGACTATAAAATGAGGAGAAAGTAAAGAACTAATAACATGTAAATAAAATATCTCATTTTAAATTTTTTAATTACATTTTTAAAAATCTAAAACTTTTTAATCATGATTTTTATTCACTTCCCACCAGGGAGCCAGCTGCTGCTCCTGTCTTGTTTGCTTCATGTCTTCACTCTTTATTTTTGTGTGTTCAACTCTGTGCCACACATGGGGCTGGCTACCATGCCCCCTCCAGTTCCTCCTCTCCTCCCCCGACCTGAACGACCCATCACAACCTCTCCCTTTGGTCAGCCTTTCCCATGGAGCCTCCATGTCCTCCTCATGAAAAGTCTAGGCTCATGAGTCAGGGCCTGTAATGTTACAACCCCCACCTCCCATAGCCCAGAGGTTGAGGCTCTGGCCCCCGAGTCCCAAGAGCTGCATTGTTCAGAATGTGGATGCTGCTTCTGGCAGTTGCTGCAGTTTGAGTTTCTTCAGAGACTGAGGCCAAAGGTTGTTGGGCTTGGGAATGGTTTGTAAACTCTTGATACAGTGTCCCTGTCATGTGAGCCAGAAGAAATAGTGTAGACCATGTTTGGAAGCATTTGTCATAGTGTATTTTCCCCCAACGAGAGCAGTTTCTACCTGTCAGTTCAGTGGAGTTCTGAGCAAAGCTAGATGACATGATGGTAAAAAGAGTTGGGTCCTGTCTGAGGAGCTGCACCAGTGCAGATCCTGCCTCCAGATATCCTGGAATAGATGGGGTGAAGTGACAGCCTGTAATAATCCCCTCCCTGTTCTGCAAACACTAGCTGCTTCTTTCATCTCCAGTTCTCCATGTGTCTCTGTCCCCGCAGCTCAAACCAGGAGATTCAGACGTATGCCATTGCCCTGATCAATGCCCTCTTCCTGAAGGCACCTGAGGACAAGAGACAGGTCTGTGACCTCCTTTCTATAGCCAAAGCCCCGGGCCTGATTAATGGCTGACTGCTTGTTTGGCACCTGCAGCATCTGAGAAGTCCCTCTGTCTAGGCAGAATGGGGCCCAGAGTCAGCCGAGCTCTTTCTATTGCTGTGGGACTCTTTTGCAGTGGTTCAGCCTTGGGGGAATGCGGCGATTCCAATAGAGAGATTGACTGGAGCAGAAGGCTGCTGGTGTGGGGGATGTCCAACAGGAAAATGGGGTGTTGCTGGGGGAGAAGCATAGAGTGATTGTGTGTAGAGCATGGACACCCTTTGGAGAAACTGAGTCCTGTGGAAATGCCACATGGGAGTGCAGCATGGGCTGGGGAAGTTAGGAGCCCCATGGGACTGTCCAGCATGCACATACACAATCTCTGAGTCCCATGGGCGTGTCCCCATGACATGCATAAGAGAAGTAAGATCTCTGCTCTGCTTGAGGCGCCCCAAGATCTTAGCTAGGTGTGGGGTGTGCATGCATCTGTGTCGTGAAGCTTTGCTCTGTTAACCCTTCCTCCTCCAGTGCCCTGTTTGTGCCCTTTGCTCTGGGCTCTGAGCTAACTCCTCTGTCTGCTTCTCTTTGTGCCTTTTGCTTTCTGCCAGCAGGACAAGCTCCTTAACCCGCTAGACCTGCCTGTCACTGTAAGTAATTCCAGCCCTGGGGGAGGGTCAGATGCCTGCTGAGCTGTAGGCATCCTAGGTAGTTAGCCTCCAGCTATTTGTCCTAGTGCCAGAGATGCTGCATGGGGATTGGAGGTGAGGGGTGGTCCAGAGGATGGTGCTGGAGGAACCATAGGGAGGGTCTGCTTGACTTTAGCTGGAATAGAGGATATTTATAATGATGGTCCATAAAGGGGTTGTTTGCGCTGGGGAAACTTTTAAAACCATTTCAGCTAAACCAATTTTAAAACCAGAACCAGTTCAGTAAAAACAGGCCAAGCCACCTTAAACTGCCTAAAACTGAGTCTGTGCTACAGCTCTGATTGGTTTTAAAATAGGCTAGGGGCATGGCTACACTTGCAGATGTAGAGTGCTGTGAGTTAAACCCGCCTTCGGAGAGCGCAGTAGGGAAAGTGCTGCAGTCTGTCCATACTGACAGCTGCTTGCACACTGGCGTGGCCACATTTGGGGCACTTGGAGCGGCATTGGGAGCGGTACATTATGGGCAGCTATCCCAGCATGCAAGTGACTGCAACGTGCTTTTCAAATGGGGGGGGGAGGGAGGAGTGTGACAGGGAGTGTGTTGTGTGTATGTTGGGGGAGAGAGTGGGTTTTTAGGGGGCTGACAGCATGTCAGCATGCTGTCTTGTAAGTTCAGACAGCCGCAGACCTCCCATTCCCCCCCGCCTCTCTCCCTCTCACACAGCATTCCACAGTAACAGCTTGCATGCCAGCTGTCAGAAATGGAGCTTTGAAAGGGCATTTCCACATTCCTACAGGAGTTCAAAACAATGACAAGAGTGGCCACTTGACTTAAGGGGATTATGTGACGTTTCCGGAGGCCGATCAGAACGCAGTAATGCAACACCTCGTTCACACTGACGCCCATGCGTTGTAGCCAAGGCGCAGCAAATGTTATTCCTCTCGCTGAGGCGGAGTACCAGCAGCACTGTAGCCGTGGAGTCGGAGCGCTCTACGTGCCTTGCCAGGATGGGGAGTGAGCTAGGGTGCCCGGGGCTGCTTTATTGCACTGTAACTCACAATTGTAGCCAAGCCCTAGAAAACTTGCTATGTAGACAAGACCTTATGATAGCAGAGGTGAAGGGGAACATTCACAGTACTCAATGCTGATGCTCTCAGGTTGTAGTGTATGTCATGCCTGATCTGGGGCCACCCCTTGAGCAATTGTGCCCTAAGAATACACTTCAGCCTCCAGCTGTCTGCCTCGGGATTGTTGCTTGTGTCCCACTGCCCATGCAGTTTAGAGTATGATTTAGAAACTTCCATTTGGTAGGTTCTCAAAGCGTTTTGCAGACTTTTGTAGCAGCAGAGAGCACTTTATTCTTGCTAAAAATGCAGCCACCTCTGAGGTGGCTCTGTTGACGCTTTTAACAGTACTTAGCAAACATGATGTAATATTTTTAAGACAGACAATGGGTGGGCTTACCATCTCAAATGGAAAGTTCACAGATAATTCAGGGAGGAAGAACGTAATTATGTGACTAGGAGTTCGGCCAAGATACCAAGGCTAATACCCAACTCATAACATTTCCAAGGGATCTTTAATGACCACTTAAATTTTCCTTGCATCCTTTGTACAGCGCCTAACACGTTGGGGTCCTGGTCCACAACTAGGGCTCTCAGCACTACAGTAATAACAATCCAAAAGAGCACCTCCAACCCCACAGAGCCCCTAGTACCATCCTGGGGCATTAAGGACAATACTGACTTGGAGAGGAAAGCCCCTCTGCAGAGTCACCCTCCCCATTCCCTGCAGCACAGTGTCCCCAGGACCGTGCTGGGGCATTAGGGACAATATCAATCACCTGACAGTGATTAGGCAGTGTGTGTGTGCTCACACTTCTACTTACTATGCTAATCAGAATTTTCACTGTCTCCTTTCTTTCCAACCATTTACCTGCTTTATCCATCTGTTGTCTCATCAGATATACAGCCTGTAAGCTCTTTGGAGCAGGGACTCCCTTTATTTTGTGTTTGTACGGCACAAATCTCTAAGGACATTATAATAGAAATTATAAATAAGAAACAGTGCTAATTCAAGGGACAGTGTATCTTCTTTTGAACCACTTCCTGCAGCAGCTGGATGTTAAGAAGTCTCCCAGCCAAGTACTGACTCATTTTGACTATAGTTAGCGTGTGAGCCCTGCTGAGCTCACAGCTCTAGGTGGTTTGGCTATCAGCCAGAGTGTCACTCTGCTCTTCCTAGTGGTTCCTGTCTCCAGCAATATAGAACCAAAAGAGTGAAAACAAGGACCTAGGAGCAGGCTGAAATGTACATTTTGCCATACTTCCTGTGTGGCCTGGAACTAGCAGGATTGGCCTGGGGAGTTGGGACAATGCAAGGGAGATCAGGAGAGGTAGTTGCACTGGTGTAATTATTTAAGTATAATTTCATATTCAGATCCAATTCTGGGCTTGCCCAGCCTATGTTCACCAGTGCTCACAATGTGCAGGGGTTCTGAAATGGACTGTTCCACTGAATCCATTCCAGATGGCAAGTGGCCTGATAGGTACGCATCCTATTATCATGGGCCCATCCAAAGACCTTGCCCCAATAGCAAATTTCTGAAAAGCTCCCACCATTATATTAGCTCTGGCACCGCTCCACCTGTTACTGTAAACAGGTTGCTGGTCTTTTAACCAGCATGTCATCTAGACCTGTGGAGAGATGGCAGGTTAGGTGATATGTGCATGATGTCTGGTCAGCTGGCCATGTTGGTCCCAGACTCATAGGTTTGCAGGAGACTCACATGTCTGTCTGTCGGGATAAGGCACCTCCTTAGTATGTGTGATGTTTAAACACTTCTTTATTTCTTTGCTAAATTTGAAAGAGCGCAGTTAGAGAGCCTTTGCTCCTCAGGCTGAGGTACAGGCCGAGGGAGACACTAGGAAACGAAGCCACTGAACAAAAATAGCAACTGAAAACTTCAAGCATGAAACTTATTTCCTTTCTATTTGTGTAACTCAAAATCAGCTCAGTGTTTTGTCCACAAACTGCCCCTTAAAAAATCACCTTTGGGGCTGAGACAAGGGAAATGTGAGCTCCAGGGGAAGAGTTCTGAAAAAGTGATAAGCTGTTGAAACAGGGGAAACCTTGTGTCAGCTCGGAACATGCTGGCTGGGCTGTTTACCTGATTGCAGTAAGACTTCTGCAGACAAATTCATTCCTGCACTGGTCAGAGTACACGTCCCCAGTTCACGGGCATCTGGGACAGTCTTGGCCAGCAGCACAGGCTAGGGCAGCCCAAGTAACACTCCATGCTGCCATAGTTCCAACAGGCATGGCCAGCAGGTGACATCTAGGGCCAAACTTTCTCCTGCCCCCAGACCTCCACACATCCTCTTGCACTGGTGGTATGCCAGTGCAAAGGGGCCATAGAGCGATAATGAATTGGGCCCTTAGATCTCAGGGTGACCAGCGCTCTAAAGAGACATGGGTAGGGTGGAGGAATTGTCCCATGGTGATTGTCTGTAATGAGTTAGCCCATACCATGTAGGACAGATATCACTGATCTGTCGCTCACCTTTTCTCTCCTTTCTGCAAGAGGTGGATTCTGTTTTTGTTTTTCTCTCATATTTCTTTTATCTCTGAATCCCCAACAGGAAATGGCTAATGCGTTTGCCCAGAAGCACCTGAGGTCTATAATCCTGAATGTGAGTATGTGACAAATGACAGGGAGCTTCTTAGTCATTACTAATTGGAAACCTCGCTTATGTTGAGTTTAAATCTTGCTGCCTAAGGGCACCTCCAGGAGTATGAGTCTGTGCAGAGTTGAATTGCAACCACTTGTCCAAGAGAGAGAAGAGAGTTTGCAGCCTGTTTCCTCCTGGCATTAGAGCAGGTCCTGTCAGGTATTGGATCTTCACGAACACAGGGGTATGAGCAGCCTGACTTGTGCCTACAGCAAGCAGCACTCAGTAGTTTTTCTTACTGTTCACTCTTACCCCCACCCTTGATATTGCAGCATGTGATCAGAGGAAACCGCCCAATCAAAACAGAAATGGCGCATCAGCTGTACGTGCTGCAGGTCCTGACCTTTAACCTCCTGGAAGAGCGGATGATGACCAAGATGGATCCCAATGATCAGGTCATTGTTAGGGCTGCAGTGAGTGCACTATAGAGGAAGCCCCAGGGTCAGCAGGCTGGGTATGATTATGAGGGACAGGAGGTGCTGAAAGAGGGGAATTGATTCATGACTGGCTTCCTTAGCTCCACCTCAGGTGCAAGGAGTGTTAAAAGCTGGAGTTCCCAATGAGTGTCATTGTAAAAAGTGCCAGTTCAATTCCTGGCACTTGGTCCATGCCCATAACATGAACTCTGGAGAGAGACAGGACTGCATGGTGTTGTGTAGAAATATTGCCTGTGTGATTGCTGATGCGCTGCAATCTCCTTGCCTTCTGTCCCTCAGGCACAAAGAGACATCATATTTGAGCTGAGAAGAATCGCTTTTGATGCAGAGTCTGATGGCAACACCGTACCTGGGGGCGGGACAGAGAAACGCAAAGCCATGTACACCAAGGACTACAAGATGCTGGGATTCACTGTATGCATCCGGAGGGATTGCTGATGCCACAGTTTGCTAGAGGCAGCTTAAGAGTTCCCTATCGGGGAGGGGAGAACAGAAGGAGGCCACAAAGTGCACAGATCACACCCCATTTCTGTATCGGAGCCTAAGACATCTCCTAAGAGAGGAACTCTGCAGAGACAGGGCTCCCTGTTCGTATCCTTGTGAATTCACTGCTCAGTTAAAGCCAGTGATTAGGCTCAGGTCTCTTGGCATGATGCGCAAGGATCTTCTCAGAGGGCACAGATTGTTGTGTGCAAGTCATGTTTATCTCCACAGGAGCAACAAATAACATTTCCAGAGACAATTTGGATAGGTGGCACTCAAGTGTTCCCTGGGTGGATTGCTCATCTCAGGCGGAGAGTTCTGGGAGGGTTAGGGACCCCCTGCACGGGCAGATTCAGGGGGGCTTCTTTCAGGATTCCCTAGGACTAATGTGTTTTGGGTTTTTCCTACACTCTACCCACAGAATCACATCAATCCAGCCATGGACTTTACCCAGACTCCCCCAGGGATGCTGGCTTTGGACAACATGCTCTACTTGGCCAAATTCCATCAGGACACCTACATAAGGGTATGGAGAGAAGAGTACCTCCTGCAAACAACATCACCCTGGTTTGTGCTGTGTCATGCGTGATATCTCTCTCTCTCTCTCTCTCTCTCTCTCTCTAGATTGTCCTGGAAAACAGCAGTCGGGAGGACAAGCATGAGTGCCCGTTTGGGCGCAGCGCCATTGAGCTCACCAAGATGCTGTGTGAAATCCTGCAGGTTGGGGAGCTCCGTAAGTGCCTCCATCCCAACCCCTGGAACCTTTCTCTAGATGTGCTGTGTACTGGGAAGGTGCTCCCCTGAAATCACCCACAGGGTATACGTTCTGTGCCCAAGGTCAGAGAGCCTGGAGTCTGCTTTCTTGTGATCCATGGGTGCTGAGACCAGGGTCTGTGCGCTTTTTGGTGAGTTAGGCTCCTTGGGCTGGAGTAGGGTTGTACAGGGTCAGAAGACACAGTGGTAAAATTGCCTGCACTACAGCTCACCCAGCTGGTACCACCAGTGCTGAAGAGCAGGTAAGAAATGTCCTTATGTAGGCAAGGCCATGGATGCTATTGGGGCCTCCTGAGTGATGTGTGAGAGTCAGGAGGGAAGCTCTCTTCTGGGGCTACAAGGATGACAGTGCTTAGCTCTTCTTTAGGTATGTGTCAGTATGGATCCCACTATAGGTGTGCATGTAACTCATGCATGCAAGCTCAATCTTTTTCTGAATAGCAATGTCTGCTGGGCTCCGTGTTTGCCCTGTGCAAGGGCATAAAAGGAAAAGAGACCACAGCCCTCCCTTGGTTCCCTCTTGCCACCCATGGCAGAGACACTAAACCAAATGAGTGTCTGACTCATTACTCTTTCTTGAGCTTCAAACTCACTTCAGATTACTTTATTCTGTGAAGGAATTCCTCTTCACTTTCTCGTTATTAACTTGGACTTGGACATTAAAAAAAGGGGAAAGGATGGGGGAAATCTGCCTAAAAGCTCCCGTGCACACAACCTGCACAGCACAGTGAGGCACTTCACACATGCTATAGGTTAAAACCCTGTCCATTGTGCGACAGTCTCATGTCCTTAACTGATGAGCACAACAGATTCCATTTCTGCCTTGGGGAAGGGCACATCTGCAACAAGTGCTCGTTCTGCTGTTCCTTCTCATCCAGTATACGAACGTGAAGAGACACGAGGCTCAAGTAACATCTGTGACAATGCGGTTCTGGCGGAACCCAACTGAGAGTGCCAACTCAGGACAAATTGCTCAAATAGGGC